GGGGGGGGGGGGGGGGGTGGGGGAGAGGACCAGGGAGGATGCAGACAGGAAAAGGCGGCGAGAAAGACGCGCGGGGGGAGCCCAGCCCAGCGCCGCCGAGGTGGTGCCGCCGCTCGGGCTGTTGGCGCCGTGCGCGGCGCGGGGGCGGGCCGGGCCGCGCCCTCCGCCGGGACGGGCCCGCGCCCAGCCGGGCCGGGCCGGGCCGGGCCGCACCGCCACCGAACGGCGGCCGTGGCCTGCCAGGAGGCCCGGGCAGGAGCCAGCGCAGCGGCGGCGGGTGGTTCCCCACGGCAGGGGGGCTTAGCTGAGCCGGCTCTGACCTCCCCACCTGGCCCAGGCAGTGGGCTGAGGGCCACCTCTTCCCCTGCGATCCCCGTTGGGCCGTACCTCATGAGGCAGAGGCGGCAGAGCCCGAGGAGAGTCGGGGACTTCCCTTGTTGGCAGGCAGCACGGTGGCCTCTGCCGGGCAGGGCCGCAGCTGCCCCCGAGGACAGAAAGCAGTGCCAGGGTAGCGGGAGCTCCCGCCTGACTCCGGCTCTTCTGCCCGGCCGCTCCGGTCCAGCAGTGCCCGCGGGTTTGGGGAAGATGGAGGAGACAGGTTGTACCCACCTTTTCTCTAACCCAGCTTCCAGTTTCAGGTACAGTCTGTGTTAAGGAGGAACTCCCTGCCACCCAAAACCAGGATGAGTTACTCTTCCCAGCTCTTGGATCGGTGCAAGCCCCACCCGTTTGCACAAGCAGCATTCACAAGCAGCAGGTAGGGCTATTCAGTCTAAAAAACCTCCTCTTGAAAATGTGCAAAGGCAGTGGAAATGTGAGCTGTAAATGTTTTAAATACCAACAGAAAGACTCTTAAGCTAGCTATATGTGCTAGCTGTAGGTTTGTTTGACCTACTACAGGTAGTATGTTTGAAAATACTACATATGCGCTTGAAAATTCAGTAGTTGATCTGATTTACAACTTGTTTCATTGCAAATTGATATTTTTTTGATGAAAGTTTATATGTGCAGTTGTTTTATTTTGATCCTGTCATAGTAGGACCCATTTTATTTTTCTCAGCGTATTTCCAGCCTGGGAAGTACTGCAAGCTTCCCATGACCCCATGGCCTAGCCACCTTTTCTATACAAGAGTCAACACAGGAGAAACATACTAGAAGATCCTGCAGCCCTGCTTCACTGTTGAATCTGAGGTTAAGAGTGGACCCCCTTACTTCCTAAACTCCCAGTGGGAGCCTTAGGCATGGCTAATTCGAATCTTTCACTCAGACGTGGTCAATACCTCGTATCTTAAAGGATAAAAAAGAATACCTAAAGCACTCAACAGGACGGTCTTCCTTACACATTTGTGTCTTCTAGACAAGCTCAATTCTAAACCAATTTTCTTTTGTGTATTTCATCCATATAGTAAGTAATATAGTGAACCTTGCCATCAGACTTAAAGTTGTGCTTTTACAAATTCATATCAAACCTACTTTTGCTGATGTGTTTGATGGCAATTCTTTGAGCAATCTAAACCACCCATTCATTATACAGCTCTTCTGCAATTCCTCAGATAAGCAGAGCAGAGGTAGCAGTAACAATATTGAGAATTACATGTCCTTGGTTTTCTCATGTATGTGAAATCAAGTGATAGAGCTCATATGTCATGACTTATCTGCAGCTCTACAACCTCTGTACAGATACAACTTTTTTTTTCAAAAAGAAAGCTTACAGTATTTTTTAGAAGTTGTAGGTTGCTGAGTAGTTGGTTTAGTGGGTCAGCTGTGTTGAATATACCTTTGTAATCAGAATAGATGAGGGCAGGATTTCTTCGGTGCTGTGTCAGCCAGTCGTATACAAATACCATTTATGAAAGGATTCAGTGGAAGCACATGATGTGATCCTGAGTACAACCTGGCCTGTTGTGCTTGCTGAAATGTCATCTATTTCATGATCCTTCCAGATCAGGGAATTGTTGTGCTGATGCCAGGGAAGGGAAAAAATCATTCACAGCAGTATCTGACCTCATACAGAGTGCATGCCTGGTTGCTAATCTGTACATGCTCAGGTGGAAAAACCACGGGAAGCTTAGGTTTTACTGCACCTGCACAGATAAATTCAGCAGTACATGAACTGCCACCTCGAGCTTGCAGGGGGAAAATGCATTTGCCACACACGGCTACACAGTTTATGCATCTGGCTATGTACAGGAAGAGGGCAGTCAGCAGAGGATGTCACTGTAGCATCACATTATGAAAGCATCTCCAAGCTGCCCTCAATGTACACTTGCTGTGATGTTACTTCTAATTGCTCTACATTGCCAGACTATGAAGGGTGAATAGAGGTCTTTGTATGTTCTCATGCACTGTATAGTTGAGCCTCCACTTCGATGTGTTTCTGAACCAGTGATCTTCTCAGTTTTCTGCATTGCATAGATGGTATTCTGTTTTATTCATCGGGAGTAACATCCCCCGCATAAAGTTTTTATTCCTTTCTGCTTTTCTCCATCTGTGATGTAACTGGTCCTTTTTTGAACAGTCCATTTATCTTTCTTCTTTTCAACAGAAGCAATTTTATGGCACATATGTTTTAATTTTAAAAAAATTGAACAGCCAGCAAAGATTAATGCAGAATATACCTAAGCAATGGAGAATATTCTGTAAGTTTGTTTGACCTAGATGGTGGTAGTTTCCAGGTTAAAGTTGTTGACCTAAAATTTAGTTCTTGTATGTTTACAGAGAGTAGAACACAGGTGATTACAATGAGATGTTTACTGCTGGTTTTGTGAGGCAGATAGTGGAATATCATTTCTCATTCTATGATCAATATTGTGAAAAATAGATTGCTTGTCAATATGCTCAATAGTATAGCGTATCTTGGGAAGGAGAAAAGAATAGAGAAAACCAAATAAAGAGTAAAAAGAAGTAGTCACTGGAAACTGGATAAAAAGCGTGACTGAAAGTTCAAATTTTCACTGTGAAAACAAGTAGCCATTAAAAAAAATAAACCCTGAAAATGACAGGTAACTTTTTCTGATGTTTGCAATTTTAGGCAGTGTTTACTCACAAGCTTTCTGGCCTCAGTACTGTGATAACGTCTTTGGTTTCCCAAGGTCAGAGTGAAAGATATCTGCCTTTAGCTGTTTATTATGTTCCTAATGGGATCCAGAAAAGACAGACCACATGAATTCAAGGATGTAAAGATAGTAATTTTTCTTTCTCCCTTGTAAAAAATGTATCTTTTCTCACAAGGAAAGCATCATCTGTCTAGGAAGAAAGTGATTTGGCATAAATCCTTTGTGCCTTAGGTCAATTTTACACGTGCTTCTGCTGGACTCCATAAGCAGTTCAACACAAGAGCAGAAGCCTGTGGAAGAGTTTACTTTTCAAGCCACTACTAAAGATAACAACTTTTCATCCATGAAAATTTATCTCTTCAGTGTTCAACAACAGATCAAATGTTAAATTAGGCAAAGACACTTTGCTGTGGCTGATTGAGGCCAATACCCATTTTTGCATTCCTTCATCTTGCACATTCCAAATCTACTCATACACCTCTAGGCTAGAGCAGAAATCTCAAATTTTATGAAGAGTGATTCTCATGTCTAGAGGTGGTTTACATATTCTTTATATAGACTTTGATTTTAACCTTGAGTATGCAGCCAAATCTGTTTATGTTAAGAATAAATGAACATATCCTGTTTCTACAGTTAAATACAGACTGTGTTATTTGCATTCTTACTAAGCAGCAAAATGCGCTTTTTTAAAGGCACGTCTGCAAAAGTGAAAACATTTTTTCTTTCTGCTGTTTTCAGATGCTGAAATGGTGTTTAAAGTGGACTGCATGCTCCTGTAATTTCTCTCCTGAAACAAAAAAAAAAAAAAAAAATTGGAAACTAATTAACCAAGGGAAAGAGAGAAAAACTGACTGCTAAATACAATGGAATGAAATTTGGGAAGAAATGTGTAGACTGTGATGGAAAGGAAAAAGATACTAGGGTTGGAAATGCAAATGTCACTGAATCTGGGATTGGTATTGTGTTAGGGCTGAACTGGTAAGTAAAATGGAGCTGATATCTGAAATAGTGACAGCATAGTTTCACAGATAAGCTCCTGGGTATTTAGTTGGAGAGAAGCAGCAGATGTTAGCTGTACAACTGGTTAGGGATTTCCCGATAAGCTACTTATGTCCATGAGAAAATGATAGCAATTCAAGATCTAAACGGTTGTTGTGAATACAGTAAATCTCCCATATTTTTTGTCTGTTGTTTTGGTTCTGTTGTTTTTCTAAAAAAGAATGTTTCCAATTGTTGAAAATGCTTCATCATTTCTAAGTGGAAAGGAGTCTTCTCTTCCATGACTTTCTACTAAATGTTGTAGATAATGGAAACACATTTGAAAACAGTGGGGAACATTTAAAAACGGTAAGCTTAATAATTTAAAATTCAAGTTTAAAAATTTAATACAACTTAATGGAGTATTTTTTATAAATGGATCACAAAAATCTCTGATTTTTTCTCTTTTCATAGCTTGGAAATGGAAGTTAAACTCTGCCCAGTGATAGACTTCCATAGTCAGCAGTTTTGTCAGCCTGAACCAAACTGATCATGGACATAAAAGGTAGATAACATAAAATAGAATCTGAAATATTGCAGGATAAAGCATTTTTATGCCAAATATCTGCATACTTTGGGTTTTTTTGAGCAAGAAGTGCTGCTTTGAGAGGGAAAAGGTTTCTTTGGTTTTCTTTATTCTCTGTGCACCAAACTGACCTCACAATACTTGAAAAATTCTGTCACAGGGCAGGCTCTGTTTATCCCAAAGTATGTATTGAGGATGTTTGTTGTGGCTTGATGATAGAATAACTGATGCATTCAGATAAGCATGAGTATCTTGGCATTGTTTGTGCATATTTGTACAAATTGTCCTCACTGGCTCTCTGGTTCTTAGGAGCACACTATGCCTGGAACATTGCTGCTTGAAGCTGCTGAGGCACTCTTCCCATTCTGGGGATGCTGAAGTGAGGTAGTTACTGTGCCTAAAGACACAGCTCAAGCTTAATTCAGTAATTTCTTAATGGTACTTCTTGGGTGGTTTCTGAACAGAGTATTTTCTTGAAATTAGATTGATAATCCCATTAGTAAAAGATGTATGCTCTTGAAAATCAATTATACAGTATTTTAGTTATTTTTTATTATTATAACAAATTTCTTGTAGTACAATTCTCTAATTATTACATAAGAATATAACCAATTTACAAACTTTGTTCTTTTACGTATCAAGAGGGTATTGTAGCGTTACTCAACAGTAATATTTTTGTGGCTATTGTCCTGGTCTCCTTGTCATTATCACTCAAGTTCTTCATCAGTACAAAAAGGACCTTCATCAGATCCTGGGAATGAAAATACTGCCACTGCAGAATCAGATGTGTGCATATTTTGATATTGATGTATATTTGATATTCAGGTGTTGATGCACGATTTTGACCAGTAGGAATAGGTGTCATTGTCATAGTATTTCTGTGAGTGGGTACAGCCTGAAGAAAGAGTCTGTTAACTATCCATCAACAGCTGTGTCCAAAGCTTATGGAGCCAAAGAGAACAAGCAGAGTGGCCAAGAGAAAGTAAGGATAACAGAGTCTTTATTGTGAGCTAAGCAATGTTTGATAGTACACAAAGAACATAGGTTTGCAAGCAGTTTTAAAGTTGAGCTAGAAATTTATCTAACTGCTAGATATGTCTGAAATTATTACTGAATTTCTGCTCTGATATTTAAAAATATGCTAGCTGAGCTTGCAAGGTTGATTGGTCTCTCTATGACTAGTTTTAACATACTTTTATGTGGTTTAATATTTTTATTTTATATTTATATATTTATAAAAAAATTTTTTGCCCAATATAATTTGAATAAACTAAATTGTGGTTAACCTAAATTATACAATGATTGTTGCGTGAAGAATAAGACCATACACAGGTCCAGGTAAAACAGGCAGGATTCTTGAGACAAAGATATGAGATAATTGATAAGCACTGCTTCTGTGTTCTTAAGTGCAAGTTTCCTCACTTGTGATGATTTAATGAGTTAAGAGAGACTGTGTTTAGAAACAGAGAATCAATAGATTTCTTACCTAAATTATCATTGATCTTTTAATATTTATTGATGTGGGTTACTGCTGCTGCCTTGGTTTCCCTGCATGACACTGAAAAGCCAGAGCTAAGAATAACATTATGGGGGAACCTAGTGTTTTACATAGGAGGAGAGAGGATGAAGAATGGAATGGTGCAAGAGAGCACAGGGAAACTGGAGAAGAGAGGAAGATAAAAATGGAAACAGAGAAGATTCACAGAAAAAAAAAAAAATTATTACAAGAAGTACTACAGTTGTACATCATAGTTTCTTACTTGAAAATGTTCAGATTTAAAAATTTGACCCTAGCAGTTGAGCAGACTCTTTTACCATAACTAAAACTATATTTTCCTTTCATTTACAGTCACTGCCTTGCTGTGTTAACTTCATGTTATTGTAGCTTTTCAGTTTGGGATTCAAATTAAGAAATATTCCATTTCATTTTAATATTCAACTCATGAAAGACTGGTAAACACACTACGTACTGTACGAATGCTAAAAGTTGTTCCTTACAAGTCTTGTAAATAATGAAAGTTCACTTACACCAATTGCATCACATGTTTATTTAGGATAACCTCATAGAACTAAATACACTCAGAAAACAAAAACTCTGTTCTTGTATCTTACTCCAACATAAGAAAAAACAAATGTAAAAAAGACTTAGTTGGTGAACTTCTTCAAGTAACAAAAGGCCCTTTTATTTAAACCATAATTTAGGCTTAATCACAGGGAGAAAAAAGTGTGTCTTTTCTCTGCCATAATAGACAAACGTCTCAACATGAACCTCTACACAATGCTGCAGCATTGTCACCCTGGGTTAAATAAACAAGGCAATCATAAGATAGAGTAGAAAGACATTTCAAACAGATTTCTAACTGTGTTTGATTATACTTAAATTTAATGGATCTTGACATGATGAAGCATGTGAAGAGAGTCTTAAAAGTAACTTGATTAGAATAAGGTTTTTTGGGGATACAAAAGAATATAACAATGTGAACTTAGAAGTATAGATAGACAAACAAAAAAATCAAAAAATACATAATTAATCTGATTTTGATCATGGTTTATATTATCCAGAATAAAGGATTTTTTTAGGAAAAAAAATATATTTAAAAAAAAAACTGCACGTGGAAATCAAATACAGAAATAAGTCACAATTTTTCATACTTTCTCTTTGAGTTTCACAAAGAAAGTGGACAAATTTGTATGTGGATATCTTCCAAACATGAGTTCTATATGTTCATCCTATGCCACGTGAATACACCTCTGTTTCTGAAGCATATTTTTACAGCAGCTTTACAAAGCAGAGCGAGACTGGTGTTTCCATATGGAGTGCTGTGGAATGAAGGGTAAACACTAATGATACTTTGTGAAAACAAAGGTATGCAGTCTTGATTTAAACATAGTATACATGTAAGAGTTACACTTTTGCAGCTAGCCAGCTGAGATATAAATTAATTTATTTAAAGCTTAAATCTCATACCAGTGCTCTGTGCTTTACAGCTGAGAAAATTTCTCATAAATTATGGACCCCACTGTTCTGTAATAGAGCAGGGAATTGAATTTAGGTATGACCAGTATCAAATTAACTCAATAACCACTTGCCCCCCACCTGCCTCCTGCCTAGAAAGAAAGAAAATGCCCTCCTCTGAGGAGGAGACTGTGCATGTACGCGTGTGTGTTGGGGCAAAACTTCAGCTGCTGTTTTCCATTCAGACTTGAGCGCACAGCATTGCAGAGAGCTCTTCATAAATCTCTGCATACATGTGTTACAAGTCCGAGCTTTATAATAAACCTGATTTGGGAAATTTGATTAAATAATAGTTTTACATAATTCTGTATCTTCCTTCTTTAAGACACTGAGATGTGAAAGTCCTCCCAGATGTAGCGAAGTACAGGCATTTGTCTAAAGCTTGGTTCATTAGGATTCTAGGTGGTCCTGTTTGGCTGGTCCATATTAATTGCAGCAATGACATTTGGGGTCAGGGGATCACGAAATGGCCAGTCTGTATTACTTTGACCTGATCTCAGGTGATGTGGTGTAGGAAATAGTTAATTATAGTTTTTCAGTGACTCACGTCTTTAATATTAGGGTGATTGATCTTTGTGCACTATAGACCCTTGCAGCTGTTTCTCATCATAAGATTCCCCCTTTGTATTCACCACAACACTTAAACACATTCAGTTACGTTTATAAATTATGTGAAGCCTCCACCAGCAGCATGGTGTCTCAAAGTAAGCAAATATAAAGCATACAGGTACAAAGCTCTGCTGGAAACTGTAGGGACCTTGAAGGAAAAAGAAAGAAGCAAATTATCAGAAAACATTTTTTTCTCATTTCAATCAACCCAAATCCCCCCTCCTCATGGATTTCAATTAAAGTTTAGAATATACTGTATTTTTAGGCATTTTGCAATAGGCAACCCATACAAACCAGGAACTGAAAACATCAGCTATTAATATAAAGATTTGAAGTACATTTAGTATATAGCACCTCATTAAATTGAGTCAGTAGTTGGTAGACTACAGAGGTGCTTTCCAGTGAAAAATTATCTGTTTTTCCAAAAGCCAAAATAATTCAGTGTGGAATGCTATATATATTATATGCATTACAAATATTTATGTTAATTCAAGAGGATATAAAAAGTGTAGGGAAGCTGGGAACTTGAATGTTATGTTTTTCGCAGCACCTGTCACTTCACTGTAGCCAGCAGCATATCCTTGCAGCATTGATCTAATAAAATTCAATGCCTCTGCAAAGGGGCACAATGCCAATGGCTGTGAGAACCTCAATTTTATATTTCCTGAGTCTGACATATTTAAATTTTCATCTATAACACTAGATTAAATTAAATCTATGTTGAATATATGGTAAGAAACTGGATTAAGCTCTGAATTCTCTAGTTAACACTCACAAAGTGCTTCTTGTAATGATATCACTTGGATTATTTATCCTGTACACTGTTCATGAAGATAGATGTTCAACTTTTCCGCCAGAACTCTTTGTCAAAAGTTTATTCTGCCTGGGATAAAGTTCAGCTGTTGTCACAGAAGTGTTTCATTGCAAAGGCCTGAGACCACTTCCCTTATTCCTTTCAGGAATACAATAACAAATGTTTGGAGGGATAGGAATTATATGATGTTCACAACCATTATCCAACAGATTGTTATTTGCAGAGGAGAGACAGGGTTTTATTACCATTTTGAAAATGTAGTTTCAAAGTTTTAGGGTCTATAGAATTATATTTTCTTTTTAAGTCTCACTACATTGAAAACTCTACATGAATATTAGACAGGGATTTTAAAAATATTTCTTAAATTTATTTTAAACTTTAAATAAATTTTCATTGACATGCATACCTATTCTGTTCTTTTTCCACAGTACTATGCATTTTTAATGACAAAAATACTCACAGACGATCAATAACAATCATAGTCATATGTGCATGTAATATAATTTACAATGAATTCATCCAGTTAGAGTTTATCTTAGGTATCACACTTAAGCAAGAAGTATGGATAACAAATTTTAAAGTCTGTTCATGATAAACAGATGTTTAAGAAGTAGTTTAAAAAGAACCATTAGGTGATCTTGGCTAAAGAATAGATTTGACTTAACTGTGGTCTGCTTAAATACATTGTCCACAGACAAAAATCTTACTGCAAAGGAAAAAAAAACAATTTTTTACTTCTTTGAGATCTTGTAAATTTTCTACACTGGAAAACTGTAGCTTTTATACCAGCATGATTCTTCTCATATGAGATTCTGGTATTTATGTACATTATACACTCTCAATGCTAAAGATTTCAAAAGTTCTAAGCATTCTTTCTGTTTCAACTGGATGCCTTGACTCTTCTAATTCAAATATACGTATTGCAAAGAACAGCCTGCTCAGGGTAGCATTTGTCTGGCAGTTTGTTCTGTAAATTCACCGATTCACTTCCAGTGAATTAAACTGTAGATATACAGTATAGAATTAAGAACCACCATATTTTTTGATCAAAAGTTAGTACATGGGTTGCTTTGCATCAAAAACCTCCATAATACTGGTATTGTTCTGCCTTGGGGGAAATGATGGTTAGAAATAAAAAGAAATTAAAATGAAAGAATACCAATCATCTGTTTTGCAACACTCACTCATATAACTTTTACATGAAGTTCTTAACTAAATATCAGAGATATATTTAATTATTTTTGACCATGCCCTGATCAAAACAGAAGGTACAATTTGTGATCTGTCCCAGTTCTGAAGCATAATTTAAAAAACAGCATTGAAACATGTGGACTGAAAAATTATTGTAATAGAAATATTCAACTATGTCACATTCCAGCCAGTGACACTTGAGACTCTATAATAGACACTGGAAAATTTGTTAGCATGGCTCACAGCAAGAATTGCCTTAATGCAATGGCAGCTGGATATAGTTATCCTGGAAAATTTGAAGATTTAATTAGTTACAGTGAGGTGAAGGCAAAATAGTAGGTTAGTTTATGTGCAAAACCTGCAGATTCTAGGTTTATGTCAGAGTACTATGACCTACAAACAATTAACTGCACTTTAATGTAAGAAGTAGTTTCACTGACTTTAGTTTGCAAGCAGTTAATTCAAAATTAAGTCTATTATTTTCTCTTATATTTGCTCCAAGCCTTTTTAACACAATCACTTCCCTAAGTTAGAGGAGTGTTTCTCAGTACTGAAGAGACTGTTAAGCCAACATCTGTTTCACAGCAAAATCCATGGTGATGTGGTGATTAAGGCAGATAGGCTTATTCTCAGAGAATAAATGCATGGCCAGGATCCTCAGTGGTGATTGTATCCTCATGCCTGTATTGGGTTTGTGTATTTGGTATTTGTGTTTGTGTATCTGTATTTGGTAGTGAGGGGTCTACAGGTGTTGCTTCTGTCAGAAGCTCCTGGAGGAATGCCAGCCATCTCCAGGAAAGACCCACTGCTGGCCAAAGCCGAGCCCAGCAGTGACAGTGGAGGCACCTCTGTGAAAATATAGTTAGGAATGGGGGGCAAAACCTGCACACCACCAACAGAAGTCAGAAGAGAGAAGTGAGGACATGTGAAAGGAACAACTCTGCAGACACCCAGATGAGTGAAGGAGAAGGAGAAGGTACCCCAAAGCAGAGACTCCCCTGCAGTCCATGGTGAAGGCCATGGTGAGTCAGGCTGTGCCTCTGCAGCCCATGGGGGTCCACAGTGAGTAGGAATCCACCTGTTGATCATGGAGATGATCACACCACACTGAAACAGATGGATGTGTCCACAGTAGACACTAATTTTCCCAAGCCTATTTTGCCTGTCATAGTAACTGACTCTCACTGTCCTTATCTTGGCCCACAAGCCTTCCCTTATATTCTCTCTTTGTGCAGCTGAGGAGGGAAGTGATAGAGAAGCTGTGTGGGCATCTGGTGTCTAGCTAGGGTCAGCTCACCACACCCTTCAAATGCCTCTTTTCTTCATTCTGCTTCATTTTTCCAAAAAAAAAAATCCATTAAAATCTTTCAGGACTGAAAATATTTGTCCTCATATTTTGCTCATATATAAAATTTTAGTCGTTGTAATATCAAGAAAAGTATTATTTCTCTTTACTCCCTCTTAAAAGCATCTCTGTTCTGGAGAAGTTTGACAGTGATTTCAGACACAATTGAATTAATAAGATCCCAGATATCTAAGGCCATCCACATTAAGTTAGTTTATATCTGATTTTTTGCTTCAGTGCTCCTTCTCTGTTTCAGTGCTATTGAAAAGTTATCCAAAATCCTGTATCTGGCCCACACAACTACTGAACAACTTTACGTCCTTCCTCTTTAACTTTTTGAACTCATCAAATTAGAGATAGGTTTGTCCATTAGTTCAGATGAATACCATGTTTTTCAATGCACTTAGTAAAGGCTCCTATAAGTTAATTATTTTAGATGTTTTATATAGTCAGTGGTGAGAGAGTCACTCTGTTTTATGAGCTAACTAAGCATCTGGGGCTTCTTGTCTCTCTCCATTGTCTATATAGGCACATTGAATAAACACATTCTCCAGGCCCGTATTCTGCTATCATTGTTTGGGGAATTTCTGCCAGCTCATTCATGCTTTTTTTAAAAAAAAAATTAGTGTTTTCAAAGTGGCCTTGTTAGTCTGGTCACATTCTCAGTTTCAGAGAGAGTTAGCTGCTGTTTTTCAAATAACGATGAAAACTCCAGTAAATGTCCACTTCAGAACCCTTTTTCCTTTATAATTCAATGACCTAATTTCCGAAGACTGATGGCTACCACTTCCATGCATGTGTTTGTGATTAAATTTTTTGGCTTAAACATCTAGAGAGCAGGAAACTTGTTTTTGACATCTACATGTAAACAAGAAGCCCTGGGCTGCTTTACAGCTCTGGGCAGAGCTTCTAGAGGTAGTGATACTCTCTGCTGCATTTGTCACAGAACAGGGAGGAAAAATGATTAGGCTAGGCCCATTTCCACCACACGTGTGTAGCAGCCTGGAACATTTCAGTTAAAGGACTTTGTTTGGAGGGGAAAAATACCTTTATTATGCTCTGCTGACAGAACAGGTGACAAAGGACTGAACTCAGTATTTCAGCGGAAAGACAGTAGTAAAACTGTTTGTGTGGTTTTTCAGTAAAAGGATTCAAAATGCTGGCAATCATGATTTGTGGGTTTCTTAGGGTTTGGCTTTTGCATCTCTTTTGGCGGGGGTTGTGGTTATTTGGGGTTTTTTTTATCCCTAGTTTGCTAGTAACACTGAACAGTATCCCACTGCAGTTTATTGAAACTACACAAACAAGGTAATTTCTGGGTTTTTTATTATTGGGTGGAAGGGGTTTTTTCAATTTTCAGGAATTTTAAAATTTCATAATATTTACTGAAAATTTACATGGCAGTATAATTACATTGAAGTACACAGGATATTACATAAATTAATTTGGCTTCAGATACTCCTTTTCTCTTTTGCATTAGTCTTTGTCATGTACATCTTCTGTGGGGCTTACTGCTTTATATGCTAGTGACATATTGAAGCTTTGCATTACAGGAGAATTTTGCAATTTTTTGATGGTAATATGAAAAAGAATAAAATTGTGATTGAAATTAGTTCCTCAGAAATATTTTGCAGTTGATAATCGAACAAAGGAGAAGAATTCAGGGTACATTTACTGCTACCATGCTGCAAGAGGAGTGTATAAAAAAAGTTATTGTTGTGTAGTGTTATCCCTAACTACACATTCAAAGCTTTAGTTCTAGATCTGTTTGACATATTTAGAGCATGTGACAAGATCTTCAAAAATTTTCCACTTTCTCAACTAGCCTTCAACACTTGTGAAATAAACTGACTACAGAGTGCCATGTTAAAGCTCCATTCTCTCTTTTTTTAACAGTAATATGTTCACAGGGAATAGATTCAAGGCTCTGGACTGAATCGGGCTGACAAAGCCTTGCAATATTATTAGGTAGTGAACATTGTTTGTTTTGGCCTACTTCCTGAAGTCTTTTGTTCTTTTATTTCTCACCTTTTTTTTCTATATTTTCAGGGACAGATTATTTTTCCCAAGTGAAGTCAAATGATGAAAGATATGGAAGATGGCTGAGGTTAATACTGCTACTTAGTTCTAATGAAAAATCATATCCTTTCATCATCATTGAACATCTTTATTATCCAAAAATAAAACAGTGCTTTTCACATTTGAGTGGTGTCCTTTTGTTATTTTGCATAGCCTGTATGTAACATGTATATGCAGTAACACATTAAAGTAAAAACTGATTAGCTAGAATTTTTTATGATACATGCAAGCTCAATTTTTTATCTAAAGAAGCTCTACTTTTAAAAAGCTAGTATTAGTTTCACATTCTTGTAGAAGTGGCTGCTTCTGAGGACTTAAGCAGTTGCAGTGGATGTATAAGTGATACCTATATTTTTTATTGTACTTATAATTAGAGGAAACCTCTCAATGTTTTTTTTAAATAATGTATCTGAAGGTGATTAATTAAGTGATTATATTGCATCTTATGTCTATGTATGTGAGGGGGATGGCAAAATGTATTGCAAAAAATGAAATGCTGCAGAATTCCAAGCTTGAAAGCAGCTTTCTGTTCTGATTGTTAACTGGGGCATGGCAGCCCTGACAAAGATTGTAACTCCTAAGTACAAAGGCAACATTTTTGTACCCTTGATAAATAAATAAGGTTGCATTAAAGTCATATTTGTCTTCACTAGAAATCACTCTCCTACTCAAATCAAAACAACTCTTGTGATCCAAGTTATGACCTCAGTGCAATGACCAAGACAGGAAATAGGCAGAGTGCAGATGAAACACTGGGAAAGGTATGAGAAGTGGGTGGTTTTTAAGAGCTTTGGCTACCTTGTGCTTTCCATGAACACATATTAAATGCGGACTTAGTTATCATCAAGGTTTTCAAGGTTACTTCTCTGTTCTATGTGTCATACAACTTTATTTAATTTATTAATTTCACTGAAGGCTTTCATATTTGGCACCTGCATGAGAATTTATTTTGTTTTATTTTGTGATTCAGCCAAAACTAATTGCATGGTTTCCAAGAACAACGCTGAGGAAAAAACTTTCCTGATCTTTTCCTTGAAAAACTTTGCAACTCACATATTTATAAGCAGAAGAGAAGACTTAGAAGCATTTTATGCATAAAAAATATCTTCCAGTTTCTTTAAAATAGAAAAATTGTTAAGATAACCGGATTTTAGTGAATGTCACTTTGTACATGCTCACTAGATGTGTTTTGTAATTGATTCTATCATTGCTTGTGTCTCTCACACCTCTTACTAGTGACAAGATTGGGCTTTTGCCATCTTCACTGTGGAACTGAGCAAGCAAAATTCAGAGTACATGACAAAAGCCAGGTTTCCTTGTATGAGCTTCTTCATGTAGGGAGAGAGTTGATATTGGGCTCTGGGCTGAGGAGCACAGCAGGTATTGATGTGTTCATGATCATCTATTATTGGTTTATTTCATGATATGGTGTAATGCCTTGTTTTGTGATTTGCAGGCAACAGAAATAAGGAAAATTTCTCATTCAAGTCTGGCATCTTAGAACTTAGATGTGAAGGGACTCAGAGCTCCTGAGTCTAGAAGAAACAGTGATGGCAGGGAAAAGGTGTCTGACTCTGGAACACTGAAGATGGGCAATGAATTACCGAAACAAAAATGAAGTCAAAATTGATTACTTAGGAATATTGAAAACAAGATGCCAGTACATTGTTTTCAGGGAAGGTTGGAGGAGGGAAAAGAACTACTAAAGATGATTTAGCCTGACTTGGAATGTGGAGGAAGGAGTGAAATAGTCTGGCAGATAGTTGGACAGAAAAAGCCAGGAAGAAGGTTGGATGGAAAGAAAACAAGAAGGAAAAGCAGTGAATGCCAGTATTGGTTAGAGGACAGAAGAGTTTACTAAGTACAAAGAAAAACTGTCTGAAATCTCATGAGAGGTGGCTGGGGGACATGAGGTCCAAGACAGGAAATAGGCAGCATAATTAGTATTCACATTGTGGGTCTGAAATGAGAAACCAAGGGCAGTGAACATGCTGCTGGGATTACTCTACTCCTTTCAGTGCTGTGTGACCAAACAGTGGACAACTACAGAAAATGACTATAAAGTAGGTGCCGTTCTCTTTTGTGAAGAAGATGGAATGAGGCATGGAATAGAAAGAACACAAGATATGGTTTGATTATGATGATGGGGAAACCTGCCTGAAAAATTCTATTTAGATGTTGATTTTAGTGGCAGTTTGTGTGTTATATTAGTCTTTTCCTTTAAACCATCTGTCTCAGAAATTCTCACTAGGTATGCAATTATCTTGGTTTGCATTCAACTTGCACTCATGACTGAAAAAAATTTTAATAAAATATATTTTTGATATATTTATACTATTATAATGCTTAACATGTACCACCACTTACAAAAACCATCAAAAAATCCAATGAACGTTTCCAAATACATTTGACCTTAATTTCAAAGCATCTGTTTCCTGCTTTCCAAAACAGAGATGATATCAGAAAGCCAACTAACCAAAACTTGGTCAAGAAGAGGTGGCATTGGTGACACTATTAAGCCAAATAGCATGCAAAAAAGCACTTACAGGAGTTAATAAGATAGGCTTCAGAGTAGTTTGAAGCAATGTTCAATGAACAAGGCATGGAGTCATATACTGAGCAATGAAAAGAATATGAAAGGTTTTGTCCCTAATCTGTAAATGAATATTAGCTGTTCTGTGCTCTGAGAGAGGAGGAAGTTCTCTGCTTCAAGCAGGATTTTATAACTCAATCTTACAGTAAAAAAAGGATCATCATTTCGTGTGTGCGTGTTTTTATCTTGGTTTAACCAACAAACTTACTGCTTGAATCCCTAAATTTATAAATGCTTGACAGTCATAACATGGCCCTTGGTTTTGCAGTGACACATAACAGAAAACTGAAAATCCCATTATGAAAAAATACAATTATTGCTTTAGAAAGAGGAAGATTTATAAAAAAGAAAAAAAAAATCAAGACTTTTAAGTTCCTATTTTTGATTGCCATTTGTGGCTTTTAATTTATTTTGAATATTATTCTGAACATTCCAGTTCTCTATGCATGTTGTTTGGTGTGTTCTTTCTATTTTTATAAATTTATAATTTGTTTTCAGTACTTAATGTGTTTATATTAAACATTTCTTTTCATCTTGGCATATCTTCCAAAATGATATTAAATGTAAAAATGCACACATATGGAAAAAGTTGTATTATAAGTAAAATTTCCCAGATAATAGCATTTTCTTGTTTAAAAAGTTAGTTTTATGACTTTATAAAAGTTTGAAGTAGTATACCTGCCATCTACTGGAAGTACAAGGACAATGCATTTAAGTTGTATCATGTTAACTGTTCAGCCAATACATGTATCATTCTACTACTCTATTACTTGACTTTTTTCAGTTAAAAAAATTATTAATTTACTTAAACATGCATTATTTAATTTATTGCTTTCTTAAGTAATAGAAGTCTTAAAATTAAACTCAGGTTTTCAACTACTCAAATTTACAGTTTGTTAATTAATTTTAAATTATTCTAAACAAATATTAAGAGTCAAGTGTAAGAAAAATCTTTGCTGTCTTTCCTGACCCATTCCTCATGACCATCCATTTCATGATATGTACTATGTGTTCAACTGGATGTGGACAAATAATTTTCAGATACTTATTTTAATAATTCTTTAGAGAAGAGTAGTTATAGTATTTTAAAATTACACTTATATAATCAAGTGGTCTTGTTATTAAAGTGATTTTATTCTGATGCAGGTCTCATTTTTAAGAGACTGGTAAATTACATTAAGTTCATTTTCATCTCTTATTGACTTTTAGTTCTGGTCCCATAAATCACAGTAATTTCTTTACACCATAGTCGCTTGGGCTGCTTAAAAATCAGAAAGTCATTAAAATGTAAAGATGTGTATTAGTCTTTGTTGCCACTGGATTTGGGACGGTCTAACTAAAACACCATTTGATTTGGTTTACTAATTCCAAAGCACTTGGAACAGAAATAAAAAAAAAGATTAGCTACAGTTCCTAAGAAATAAGACTTCCCAAGGTCCATTTTGATATGAGAAACAATATTTTGCCTGCATATTAACCATAAAGGCTAGTATCAATTATTTGGTAGACTGGGTTTCCATCAGATCAAACTGTGAAAAGGAAGAGAAATAATTAAGTGTCTACCTACCTTTTTAAAATCTATAGTTAAACAAACCATGACAAGCCTGAAAGGAAAACAAAGAAGGTCACCATTTGTCATCGAGGAAGTTTTGCTGAATTCCTAAAAGATTTTTATGGAAACAAACCTTTTCAGCCCTGGGAAGGCTCTTTTATAAGACTATAATACTGAATACCATTTAATTTTGGGTAACACTGACTTTTATTGTCCATTATTAAGGTACTCTGAGAGTATTAAATTCTGCATAATTTATGGCTAAAATTGTCATGTTTTTCTATTAATGTTGCTAAGGAAGAAATTATATATATTTGTTCTTCTATGTTTGCTTTCTTTTAGTTTAATTACCTATATCAGTATAATTTATCACTTTACTAAAGAAAGAATGAATAAGTAGTAAAATTAATTTCCAGCCTCTCAAAAATTAAATTTCTTCTTTCTCACACTGGGATAGAAAATGTTTGAAATCTGTGTGCCATTAACAGACAGAGTTGGATAATAGTTACTCTCACTGGAAAGTATAAATGCTTTAGGCAAAGAAGATCTTGAACTTTTGCCTTCTGTTTGAACTGTATATATACTAGTTTAATTTTGGAAGCATACACAGGGCCTGGATTCAATATTAGTTATTTTCTTATTGAAGTAATATTTATTTGTTTATTAAAATAAATTAACTTATTGTGAAATATAAATGCATTTTAATAGCATCATTTATTAATAAAATATGCAAAAATATCCTTTTGAATAATGGCAAACTTCCTTAATCTGAGAGAGGCAGTTCGGCCCCAAGCTGAGGCTGGGATTCCTCTGTGCAAAGCTAACCACATGCAGCCAAACTGCATCTGTAGACCACTGACATCTAAGATACCTTTTTCACAAATGCTTTGTATGCTCCCCTGATGACCTCTAACTCCAAACTCCATTGTAAGGTATTCCTTACAATTTTAATAGCCCTAAATTTAGTACAATTT